TGTGTGTGTTTACAGAGCTATTATGGACTGCCCCGGAACACTTGGTAAATACAGAAAATCCTGGTCGTTCATCTAAAGGAGACGTGTTCAGTTATGGTATCATATTGCAAGAGATATTGCTGAGGGGATTTCCGTATTGCATGAACGATTTTATGGAAGCAAAGAGTAAGCTGAAAAATTATCATTAGACTCATTAATGGATTGTGTGGATGGGCTGCCTGAGGCAAAATTCATCCAACCAATTTTTGCGCAATCAATCAGCACCAATCGGAACGTGTCTCATGATAGGTTGAGAAAACAAAAGACAAACAAAAGATAAGTCTTCTAAAAATATAACAAAATCTAACCTAACAATAGAGCTGCAACCAAAAAGCAGGTTTAGACCCTATTTACATATGAGATAGGGTGCCCCTAGTTGTAGGGACAAAATCTTTTGTTTTGAATCCTCCAGGGAAAAGAAAACAAAGGAGTTAGCCCTACCACGTAGGGGCACCCTATATCATGTAAACAGGGTCTTAGATCGGTGTTGTATTACTGCAATTTTCTCACTTTTTCTTCTTTTCAAACAGCAATTGTCAACAAGGTTAAACATAGCGAGTGTCCGCCATTCCGTCCCAGAGTTCTTGCTGAAAGCGGCARTCCTTTGTACTTCAARCTYATGTCYGATTGCTGGTRYGAAGARCCTGACGAACGACCARCCTTTTCAGATATTTCAAGAAGACTAAAGCAAATGAATAACGGAAGGTATGGGAATTTAGCCTACGCAGCCGGCATCTCTCCAATGTCGGCTGCGGTGGAGGCTATGGAGGGTTAAGCTAACTATAGTATTATATTCTATATCCAACCTCAGTTTCGCTTACGTTACCTGCATTATAGATTCTACAATTTTTGAATATTTCAGAGAATTCAATATCATGGACAACATGATAGCGATGATGGAAAAATACGCAAATAATCTGGAAGAGATTGTACAGGAACGAACGCAGCAGTTGGAAGAAGAAAAAAACAAAACTGACGCTTTACTGTACAGAATGCTACCAAGGTATCATGGGATTGTACAATCTCGTACCCAGTGTTCGCACTTTTAATTGCCATTCGTGGATGCCAATTCGCGAGACACGTTTTTGCTGCGCCGCMGCATTGCGCTTTCATTAGCCTGAAGATT